TCGTTGGTGTGTATATGCGGGGATTCTTCTATCGATTAGAAAGAAAAGGAAATCAAAAACAAAACGGGCGAACATAATGTTGCACGTTCCCCGCAAAACAATCGCGTAGAATGGAATATCGTTTTCGCCGGGCGCAAAGTACATGTGTGCGAGAGTTTCTCGCGTTTCTCGCGATAGATCTCAGATTGCTCGCGTAGCATTTTGGCACTTGTTACACAAAGAATCTCTCTATTCCTTGTACGCGCGCGCGCGCACGCGCACTTTTCCCCTCGTTCCCTCGACCGTTGGATTACGCTTTGTAGGCCTTTGTCGGATATCGCGCACTTCCGCCTTCCTCGATACCCGTACAAAACGAGAAGAAATTCTGAAGTGCGCGAGACCTTTAGGAACACAGAGTACGATTTGCGTCGCAGTCATTGCTGTCGAATTTATCTTCAGCTCCTTCCTACTCTTTCTCTGCTTCTTCTTCTGCTTCTTCTTCTTCTTCTTCTTCTTTTTCTTCTTCTTCTTCTTCTTCTTCTTCTTCTTCTTCTTCTTCTTCTTCTTCTTCTTCTCCTCCTCCTCCTCCTCCTCCTCCTCCTCCTCCTCCTCCTCACCTTCCCCCGCTGCCTTTCTATTAGTTAGCAAACTCAGGAAGCTCATCATCTTTCTCCCCTTCTCTTACGGCTGTTCGACGTGCTGCTGTCGCCGCCGATCATCCCTCGCGGCGGCCCTTGATAGGACCGGCTCTCTCCTCCCCGATCCCCCGGCGATCCTCGTAGAGTTCAGTCTTATCTCGCCGATCGCTCCCATCCCGGTCACGTCATTTGCGCGGCGTTGAAGCCGCGTCTCCTCGGCGCGGAGAAGGGATGCTGGGGGTTCGCGATCTGAAAGTGCTGAACGTACGGATTGTTCCTGAGAACGTTGCCGCCGGGCGCACCGGCGGCCGAGTACTGGGGTGGTGCCACGGAGATTATGCCGGTCTGTTGCAGGTATTGCTCGCGGTAGAGCGCCTGCTGCGTCACGTATTCGCCGTTCATCGGATTCGGACCGGCGGCGTACGGCGAATGTTTCTTGCTGTGTTGTTGCTGATGCTGATGCTGCTGCTGCTGCTGCCGTTGCTCGGCTGCCGAGGTGCACTCCTTGCCATAGTCATCCTGATGATAACACGAACCGATGATGGGTGACGCGCATCCCGGCGGTGTCGCCGAGTTCTTCACGCTTTGCGTCGGGCTCTGACTGATAGATTCGAGCACGTGCCTCGGCATATTCGGCGACGGACAATGGCTGTCCTGCAGGCCGTCCATGCGATTAGCGTTTCGTACGTAGATGGGTGCGCTCTCCGGCCTGCCGCCCACTATGTTCCTCATGCCTTCCCGATCCGTGGCGCTTAGGCTCTGTCTGGAGCTGCTCAACACGGACGCGCGACTCTTCTGGTTAGACGGCGAGGAGGTGTTGTTCAGATCGGAGACACTGGACCAGGTGACGCTGGCGAGTTCCCAGCGTCGGAGCAGGTTGGACACTCGTTCGGCTCTGTTGCTCGTGTCGAGGCTCTCGTCGTAGTCCGGACCCTGAAATTGGGACAGAGGAACGAGCCCTTAGCTTTGTGCACGTCATCTATTTTAAGATTAAGAGAGAGAATCAGAGAATGCGCGCCATGATCTCTCGTGGCGCGACAAACATCCTCCGTCCTGTCCCAGGTTTAATTAAACCAAAGTCAAAGAAGGATCTCGCCGCGCGTAGAATGAATAATGCAAACTCTTTTTTTTCATTATCTCGACTGTGTAATTTCCGCGAGTGCTACTTCGCGATCGAGCGCTTGATTAAACTTGCATCGCGAGTGTCCGATCGCCGCGCCGCGCCGTATCGAGAAGAGATACTCTCTGTCTGCTGACTTACTCTCGTCGTACGAATCTTTTTCTTCTTCTTCTTATATCTCAACCTTCAGCGTGCGTCTTTTAATACACCGTAACTTTTTGATCCGAGTTCTTTCCGCTCCCGTCCGTAGTTTATAGCGCGGATTGTTTCTCGTGAAAAAAAGGCTCGGCGAAAAGCTCATCGACCCGGCGCCGGCTTATAAAGGTTCTTTGTAGAAAAGTGACAATGAAGGAAGTAATCTATACTCCGATATACATCGTGCGATTCTCCAGCGAAAATAGATTTGAAAGCGCGAAGCGCGATCGATAGGAAAGGATATCGCGAAAAGAGATTCACAATCAGCAGCAATCGTCAGCGTCGACGTCGAAACGCTCGAACTTTCGCTCTTTTATATTGATACGCGACCATGTTGATTATAAATTATGCACGTAATATATATCGTGCATCTTTGCCCAACCATTTTATAGTAAATAATATTTCCTGTATCGATACGATACGACAAGCAGATACGATACGAGAGAGCAGTGTTTTACAAAAGATACAAGTTCGTAGATAACACGTGATATCGGAGATAATCATAGGTTCACCTAGGTTCTTCTCTATACTCTCCACTACAAGGTCTCCTATTGTTCTTCGCGAAGCA